ATATATATATACATACATACATACATACATACATACATACATACATACATACATACATACATACATACATACATACATACATACATACAGTAAACAAACAGCGATGATAATACTAACAACATGCTGCAGCAGTTGTTTTGGATTATAACTGATGTCTGTTCTAACAGCACATTGTAGACTGCAGCAGCTTTCCAGGAACAGGTGGTGAAGTGAGCTCAGAACTGCTGCTGATTAACACTTGGAGACGTGCTTGATGATGCAGAAGAGAGCCAGAAACATCCGTTTGCTTAATTAATCTGTGCTGATAAAGTTTAAAGGTACTTATATTATTTCTGTTTATGCAAAAAAATGCAAGCAGTGGTTGCAGATCGATGGGAAATATGTTCCTAATTCAGAATGTTTTTTATTGCAGGTCTGGTCTTTTGACGTTTTTGCCAACCAAACAGTGATGTCTTGTAACATTGGTAGATACACCAAGAAACGTATTAACACAGATTAATAATTACATTTTATTTCAATGGAACTTTACATGGTTTAAATTATGTTACACAAACATATTTAACACGTATTGTTGAATGTAGATTCCTGGAGAAAGCCATGAATTGAACTACTGTTAGCTATAATAAGTGCCTGTTCTTGTTTTGTCTTTCAGTGAACAGCAACCCTGTTTTTAGCTCCTTTTATCTAATTTTCCTGTAGGGTGCACCCCTTTTTCCAGGAGTTCTGTTTCCTTAAACCTTTGTTTGTGTTGCTGTGTCCCTTTCCTTCAGCTGTGCATGTTTCCCGGAGAAATCCCTCAATGGATCTGGTATTGATTTTATGTTAAGCTGTGTCTCTTTCCTGAGAGAATCAGTTTATATAACTATTGCTTGATTTACTGTGTGCTCTCTTTATATGTCCGTGTTTCTAGAAGATATTGAGAGCTGAGTTCTAAAGTGGAAATAGCGACTTGCACCACTAACTCTTAGATTTTCTTTCCCATAAAACTTGCCGTTGGGCTATTGATGCTGTGTTTATTTCCATGTGGAGCAAATTTCTATATATTTTTACCTTTATTTGCATTAAAAATAGGTTCTACAAAGAATTGATTCTTGGGGCTGAGTACAACTTTACTCCACACAAAGATACAAATGTGCAAAACAATCATAATGTCCCATGTATATTTTGGATAAATATTTCTCAAATTTCATTCTACTATAAAACAAAGCTTCCTTATCTTTTCTTTTAATTTGTAAATTAGGTTTAATGTCGAAAGAAGCGGAAGCAAATAGGAAAACCCTCCTGATGTTATGCCATCTTTAGTCTGTTTTCCATTGCTCGGATGTTTTTATTACATTTAAAACCTAAAAAAAAATCAAAAAGTTCTAGTCGATCATCTGAACTTACTTCTTGGATTGTTGATTTATTTTACAGACACAAAAAACACGCAGATAAATGCTCATTGTGATGTCTGTGTCTCCCTTACTTGAGGATGACCAGGCCACAGCAGGAGGGGGGCACCTTGGAGCAAAGGTCCTCCAGGGCCAGTCTTTCTCCGGTGCTGATGTTGAAGGAGGAGCGAGGCGTGCTGGCCAGCCAGCTGTAATCCACCCCGGTCTTCAGGCGCCGGTACTGGTTCTCCCTCTCTCTCTGCATCCTCTCTGCTTCCTTTAGCTGCCAGCTGAACTCCAGCATCAAAGTGTCGGTGACCACGTCAGCTGGGTCCCTGCGGGGGCTCCTCTGGTAGGGCTCGTTCCAGCTGAACCAGGACGCCATGGCCCTGTCCTCCGTCACTTTCTCCTGAAGGAAAAGAATGATGGGAATTTGACCAAAACATGAATTGGAAAGGAATAATTCTTTTTGTATTTTTTTGGTATTAATGGATCTCATATTTTTTATATTTTTGCCTTGTTTACCAGTTTCTTTTGTGTAGAGAAGATCAACAAAACATATTTGTGGTTTCAAAAGATTTTTATAGTGGAACTTAAGCGGTAATTGAGAGCTCGGCAGGATTTCGGTGTTTACACTGGTGGGGAGAGGAGACGTCTATATCCTGGGCTGTTGTGCTCTATGTTTCTCATCACTTTAATGTTTTTGTATAAACCCTGGGTGAGAGTTTCTACTTAATTTCATCAATATCAAGAGAAAATGAATTGCTGTCCTCATCTATAAGTTCTACAGTTTCTTCTGGGATGATGAGAAACAGCTTGTTTTTCATCAACTGTGAGCTTTTACAAGAAGCAGTAGGAGTCTTTTACGCTCAGTTTTGTCCCTTGTTGATGAACTTTTGTTTTGACAAAGTTGTCTTTATTGCTCTATCCAAAAATCTGTACCACTCTATGAGTGCAGACACCTACCTGCTGCAAACCCTCAGATTATTCTGCACCATTGGAAACACAATCCTGTGACACACAATCCTGGTGGGGTTTTTTTACCTTTTTAATGGTGTGTATGAAGGTTTCTTTTTGCATGAAAAATAAAAGACAGTTTTTCTAATTTTTTATTTTTATTTTTTTTCCTAATTTTTACAATAACAAAGAAAGAATATATCATATCATATCACATATGAAAGCCCTCTTTCATTCTCCGTTTTGCTCCAAATGTCATGATTATGCACTTTTTGGTTCTGCTTAAGTTTTCTTTTTGAGTTTTCAGTTATATCAGTTATATGTAATTGATTTGTGTCTTTCTATATTTTCTAGTTTATTGGTTTCATTTTCATTTTGAGTCATTCTAGTTGTTTTTGGTTATATTATTTGAGTTGTTGTGTATTTCTTGTTTACCCTCTTGTGTCAGTCCCCTTCTCCCAGTTCACTTCTTGATTCTTCTCCCAATCTGCTGAATAGCCAGGTCTTTGTTCAGTCTCCCATTTAATCATCACATTGATGTGGCTCATGCTACATACTCCGGTATGCACCTAAAAGTCAAGGTTGCAGTCTGCCATTAAACTAATACTAATAATAAAAAATAAGAAAAAGTCTCCCATTTCTACACCTCCTGTTCAGTTACTGTTGCTAGTTCCTTGTAGTTTCTCTGCTCCTCATGTGTGTTTTCCCTGATGCTTCCTAGATTTTGGTTTTCTGTATTAGTTATTCTGGGAATTTTGCCTCAGGTGCCACCTTTTTTATTTATTAAAAACTAAAAGATACCACTTCAGCTTCAGTCTCTGTATTTGCGACCTCCACAACCTCCACTCAATCTGGCACCAACTGATCCAGAGTTATTGTTGCAAAACTTTTTGTGCATTGTACTTTTTGAGTATTGTTATTGGTGTGACTTTTTCGTAGTTGTAAAAGTTAGAAAAAAAATCTATAATTGCAAAAACCTCGACTTCAAATTCACAATTATAATATACAAATTCTTATGATCCAAAGCTACCTTAAAAGGTCTATAGGCCAAGATCTATGCTTAGGCTGCAAGAACTCCAACACAGGGGTGCTTGAATGAAATAGCATCCTTTGGTTCATACAGCTGTGATTCTGGAGCTGTTGCTGTTTGTTCTTAACATAATTATTGGGAGAGTGTTGGGCTAGTGGTTAGAGCAGTGCTCTTGTGCTCAGTTCAATCTCAACAGCTGGCATTCTGGGACCCTGAGCAAGACGCTTAACCACACACTGCTCCCAGGGTGTCGCACTGTGGCATTATTATTATCAATTTCTGTGCAGTCTTGTTATTTCGTGGTGTCTGAACAAGATAAACACATTAAAACCTTTGAATTCTGCACTTGAACTCTTGCAAGAACGAAATGTTCTGTCCTAAAATAAATTCTGGTTGAGGCAAAAAAAAAATCTCTGTTCTGTTGAAGTATTAATAGTTCTTTATTAATGCTCATGAACAGAAAGGTCTGAATAAAGACATGAGGTTCTTAATAATTTCAGAAGCAATATCCTGAGCAGCAATCAGTCTTGGTAAAGATTATAAGAATTTGTGGTGAGACAAAATGATAAAATAAGTTATATTATAAATTCAGGCTGACACACTGAAATAATGCTTTAAGTTGAACTCTGTCAGGGCTTCACCCTTTTGTATGAGATGACTTTACTGAAAATATGTCAAATGTTATCTAGAGAAACACCATTAAGAAAATCTTTTGCTACAAACCAAGGAAATGGGACTTTTTGCAGGTTAATATTATGTAAAACTAAACCTCAGCTCAACTGAAACAAATACATTAAAAAAGACATATCACTGGAAAAGTGTCTGTCACAAATATTGAATAAAACCTTTTATACAACCCATTGCCCTAACACATATAGAATTGTAAAACACTTTTATTGCAGTTTATTATTTATTTCTGCAATTATAATAAATCATTTTTATGTATTTTAATAATGACACTGACCAGTTAAGCATCATCCTTTTCATCTTCCAGCTACTTGTTCTTTAGCAGGTGTAGTAGCTACTCTCAGCTACCATGGGGACTCTTTGTCAGTGCAGAAAATAAATAAATAAATAAAGTCTGGAGCGCAGGCAGCTGATTGATGTTTAATGACTGTGATCAAAAGACTTAATCAGGTCCTACAATCACTGTGCTGCTTGATGATAAGAGCTGCAGCCTCTTATTGTTCGACAGAGGAAAAAAGAGCTTGAAGGGTTTAAGTAATTGGCCCTACTTTTCCAGCAACAAAACTGAATGAAATGCAATCAGACCCAGACTGCAGAATATAAAGTCTGTCTAGTTTTTTGTGAATAATCAATGTTTTGTTCATTTTATTTTTTTCATTCTCCTCTAAAGATGCTTGTTAATAACTTTTTTCTTTATGCATTTTAAGTCAGTGTCTAAAAAACATTTTATGAGTGACATTATGATTCTAAAGATTTGAATGCAATCTAAAAAACAACATAACAAACTCCTAGAGGTGTTTATTTGAAGCCCCTGCAGTAGGTGCATTTATTGGTTTACGTCTCTCTAAAGCCTGTCCTGTCTTTTTATCTTTAGTTAATCTGTCAACATATAGTCAAGCTGTCCTCGAAACCACAGCTGCTCTTTACACTTCACTCTGCTTGACTTTTTTTAGGTTTGCAGGTCAGATTATCCTCAACATGCTCAATAAGAAGGTTTTCCGACAGACAAAGTGAGATTAGAGCCGCGGCCGGCGGTTTACTAGGTGACTGACCCGTCAACATGGCACCAGATCATTAGATATCATGTGGTCCTTTCCACTGTCCTGCTTCCTTTCTGTTGTTTATATAAGATGTTCAATCTCTTAAAGAAACTAAATCATCTTTTTTCATTATTATTTTTTTGTGTTTGACGGATTCTAATTCTAAATAATACAACTTCTCTCTCATAGTCACTCTTATAAAAACAAACAGAAATTCTTATTAAACAATGCAACAGTTTATAACAACTTGCAAGTTTAATTCAAAGAATTCAACAAGTAAATTAATAAATCCATGATAATATACATTAATACATTAAAAGTCTTCCAGTTTTGCACCAACAAAGAAGCCAAAGAAAATTTCTTTCTGCTACTTTTTTATATTTTTTGTTAGTAAATTATTCTTTTTAAGGTTATATAAAATGTTTGTTCTGATCTGGTGATAGGGGATTTTTTATTTAAAGAGTTCTGTTTTCTAACTCACTTTACATTCAAATTTAAAAAGGCAAACAACAACAAAAAAAACACTTTCTTGCTATATAAAATCAACCTTTTGTTTGTAACTCGTAATTTTTAAGAAGAATGTCATATTTTTTTTGTTTACCTGCGGTTCTCGTTCTCAGGTTTGGTGTCGGGCTCCAGTGGGAACTTAATTACAGAAGAAAAAAGTGTAATATTCCTCAGAGAGGCAGCTGGAGAGTCTAAATGAAAAGCAGAGACAGAAGAGAGATGGTTTCTCTCTCTCTCCTCTCTCAGTGTTATCTCCACCTCTCTGAGCCTTCCTCCTCCTCCCCTTCCTCCCAGGAGCTTCTCCTGCCTGCCTTTACTTGTTGCAGGAGGTTAAGGGCAACATCTCCAAGGGAAGGCATTGGATCACAGCCCCTGATGAAGTGCTTATGTAGCTTTTTACGATTTGCTGTTGCCATAGCAAAGCTCCTAAGCCTATTTGTCCACGAGAAGCTCCATCAGCTGTAAGGGAGCTGGAGAGCGATAAAGAGGCAGAGAGACAGAGAGAGCGGAGTGGGCTGAGCAGTGAGATGGACAGAGAGACATAAATCAAAGAAATGTTGCTCTGAGGATGGAGTAAATGAACTGATGATGGTTGAGTTTGACTGTGAGAGTCACCCTCACAGGTAATGAGTATCAGCAGTGGTTTAAAGCAGGGTCAGAAATGTGTCCACTGCAGCAGGAAAGCCGTGTGTTTCTGTGATGCAAATAATCGAATCCAGACGGAATATGCGATTGTTGTGTAGGTGGATTTCAAGGTTTTGTTGCTTTATTCCGAGTGTAGGTGGGAGTAGCTAACCTCAGACTCATCCTTTCAACACATATTCACTTTAATCCCATCCTTGCCACAACGAACCTCCTCCTCCTCCGCTTTCCACTGTATACTGAAAAAAAGACTGGGTAACCTCTGAACTCTGGTCAGTGACAAGAAACATCCACACAGAAAAAAAAAATGTGAAAACATCCTGTTAAAATGTTTCCTGTTGTTAAATACAGACTGAGGTAGTGCACAGGGCTCCTTGCTTCCTGAATGAACGGCATTAGAGAAAAAAGGTCAAAGACTCAATAGTTGTTAGTGTCTTGAAAATGTAGTCAGGCAGAAATACAGTCTGGTTAGTGACCATTAGAAGAAATGTTTTCTGTTTAATTAGTCCATGCTTATTTTAATCACTATACCTACTTTATATC